TTCCACTTGGTTTCAGCATACTTCTTCTTCCACATTTCTGCATTTCAATCCTCACTTATTCTTATTCTCCTTCCTTCTTTTTTTCCCTTCTCTTCCTTCTGATTTTCTTCCCCTTTTACATCGATCTTCCTATTCCATTTCTTATTAGTCTTCCTCTGGAGTCTTTCAAGAATATTTCTTTTTCTTCTCCCTATCTTAATTCTTTACTTTTCACTCAAATCTTTCCTCTTCTTTTTCCTTTCGGTCCACCTTTGCGTTCATATTTCTGCTCTTCTTCAACTTGTTTACCAATATATTTCTTTCTTTCTTTTTCTTTCTTTCTTTTTTCTTTCTTTTTTCTTTCTTTCTTTCTTCCTTTTTTCTTTCTTTCTTTCTTTCTTTCTTTCTATTCATAATCATTTTCTTTTATTTATTTCCCATTCTTCTCGTCTTCATAATCATCCTTCTTTCTTTCCATCTTTATTCTTTATTTCTTAATCACTTTTTTAATTCTTCTCCTTCCTCTTCTTTACGTCTTCATAACCAAACTTCATTCATTCTTTCTTTCTTTATTCATTTAGTTCATTATTTTTCTTTCTTTCGATCGTTCTTCTTCTTATTATTATTCTGTTTCTTCTTTTTCCTCTTTTTCTTCTTTTTTCTTCTTCTTCTTTCTCTTTTACTCCTTCTTTATCTTTTACTTCTTCACCTTTTTCGTCTTCATTTTCTCATTATTTTTCTTCTTATTTCTTTTTTCTTCTGTTTCTTCTTTTTTTATTCTCCTTCTTCGTCTTCTTTTTCTTCTTTAACTTGTTTTTCCTCTTTTTTCTCCTTCTTCTTTTACTTCTTCCTTTTCTTTTTTTCTTTTTGCTTCTTTTTTCGTTTTCTTCTTTTTCTTCCTATCCTTTTCCTTCTTCCTCTTCTTTTTCTTCTTCTCGTCGCTCCTCCATTTTTCTCTATTTTTGTCTTGCTTCTTTTCTTGCTCATCTGTCTCTTTCTTTTTCACCTCTTATTTTTTGTTCCTTTCTCTTACTTTTTCTAACCCTGCATCCTCTATTTCTTTCTCTTTCTTTTCTTCTGTCTTCTTTGTTTTTCTTCACTTCGTTCTCATTCATTTATTCGTGGACCAAAAAAAATGACTATGAAAGAATTGAGAACGAGGCTTCCTGTGGCTACCAAAGCTTAAACCCCCAAGGCTGACGATATTCAGTCACCCCCCACCACGAGGGCGTTATGTGGCACAAAGCCTTTTTAACGTGGGCATTCCCGAGCCATTAGGCTCGGCCAAAAAAATAGCCCATTTGAACGGGTTCAGGGCCGGTTTTACCTCCCCGAAGGAGACTCCGCCCTTCGGCGTAGCCTCCTTCGGGTTCCTCTCCGTCCGTAGACAGAGAGTTGAACCGAACGGTCGCTCAGGATGTACTGGGTCGACTGAGTAGTGATTTTCCAAGCGTAGCTCAGATGTGGCACAAGGCCGAAAGTATGAGACACCCAGTGAGAATCGAACTCACTATTCAGTCGTAATATTTCTAGCAAGACAAGATTGCTAACCATTACACCACCACGAGATGCCCAATAGTGATTTTCCAAGCGTACCTTAGATCTGGAACGAGGCCGAAAGTATGGGGCACCCAGTGAGGATTGAACTCACTATTCAGTCGTAATATTTCTAGCAAGACAAGCTTGCTAACCATTACACCACCTCGAAGTGCCACCAAGGCTGACTAATTCTTCAATATATACTGAACTGACATCCGTGGAAATCAGCATTTGAAATTAGGGTTTTTACTTGAGCTCGATCAATAACCCCGACTCCTCGAGCTTAGAGGGAAACCCCCCCACAAAAAAACCCCCAAAAAATGATGCCATTTCAGTATATTTTTTGTTGTTTTTGTCTTGTTATGAATGTCTTTCTCTTTCTGTATTTTTCAGCCAATCGCGTCAAAGTTATAACGCAATAAATCAGACCGCCCCAATTGGTTATTACCACCACAGCGTATGGGTCACAGGTTTTGGCGCGAAAGTTGGCAGCGATCAAAAATACACCAGCCAATTATTCAACTGGACACCGTAGTTCAGTCCGGCCGCTGTAGCATTTTTATTAATGTTCAACGTATTTCAGTTAAATACAGACATTTGGTTGAGCGAAATTATACCCATATTAGTGTTTATAGCAGTCGACATACAAATTTTGTCCAATTTATATGTTCATCCAGTCAAAAACCAAAACATGAGACGTTTTATTCAGTATATATATATATATATATATATATATATATATATATATATATATATATATTGAACAATAAAAAAATATTGAAAAAAATATTAAAAAATATCATACACACTGGGTTGTAGATTAATATTCTTTCGTTTTTTTGTTTTTTTTATTATTATTTCATTTAGATTCCTCGACTAGTTTCGGCCAAAATGGCCATCATTAGGAGAAGAAATATTTCTTCTTGCTGGTAGCATTAAACTACAGAAATGAATGTCTTCATGGAGAAAATGAACTTTTTTCCTATACTTTCCATTTGGTTATTTTTTATGTTTTTAACATGAATCTTTTAACATTCCTTGTGTCGGTCAAACAGTCTCTTTTAAGTTGTTATTTGAGATAAGAGTTGGATGGATCTATGCTTCTCTGAATTCCCGTGGTCAGTTTGACAGTTTTATTGGTCCTGGAGAGGGGATGTGTCTCTGTTAAGTGTTTGTGTGTATGTTATTTGGTTCTTAGGGAGTGAGTGAGTATGATATGTGTAAGCGTGTGTATTGCTGTGGGTGTATGTTATCATTTGGCTCATTACAGAGGTGAGTGAGTAAGATGTGTGTAAGTGTGTATGTTCGTGTGGGTGTGTGTATAAGTGTGAGGCCTCCACACCTCCGTAAGCATGTCTGTCTTGTGTGGGTGAGAAATGTGGGTAGGTTTTGATTTATTGAGTTATATATTAGTATTATCTATATTGTTAAATTTATGGTTTAGCCCGGCTGGATATTGTGTTCTTAGACGTTTTATCCACTTATTTTCATGGGACTCTAAAATCTTTCTAATGTTATCTGCTCTGAACTTTTCTATTCTCTCAATTATAGTGAATTTGGCATGGGTTTTGAAATCGTCTTTTTCCAGGCGGAAATGTTGTTCTACAGGTAATAATATATATATATATATATATATATATATATATATGTTTTGAACAATAAAAATATTAAAATTTTCAGACACTATGGGTTGTATATTAATATTATTTTAAATAGGTTCCAAGACTAGTTTCGGACAGTATGCCCATCATCAGGAGAAAAAGATCCCTGTTTGTGAACTACCGGATTAAATGACTGTTTCTGAAGAAAGTGAGCTTTATCTATGGTTTTCATTTGTTTTTTATCATTAACTTGCAGTAGAGCCCGGCGTTGCCCGGAGATATAACAATAAGAGATAGATCAAGTATCGACCATCATAAAGACTGAAAATTAAAATTGACAAAGATTATTGTTTAAGGTTGACGGACACGCATGTCTTAATTAGTTTTTTTTTTTTTACGAATTGGTCAAACCCAAACTCAAACAAAAACATTGTTTTCAATCGTTATGAGTCTCCCGATTGAATTTTATTATAAATATTTGTCTTGTAAATGGAATTTTTAAAGCATTCTGAATGTTAAAAATAAAGAAAAAAGTGTGCAAGAAAATAAGAAACAATACCTGCCAAAAAAAAAAAAAAGAAGTTTTGTTTTATCGGCTGAAAAATATAGGAAATCCGCTCCCATATTTAAAGGAACCCACATACACACAAACAACCCGATATGAGTTGTCCCCCTTCCATTTTCACGATGTCTCTTAATCGTGTTTTCAAATTGATTTTGTGCAAAAACAATTATATTTTTCCCATTTTTGGCGCTGTTAGAACCACCACAAGGTAATTTTATGTAGTCCTGTGAAGTTTTGTTGAAATCGGTTGAAAAATGTAGGAAATCCGATCCAATATATAAACATTACAGACACACACACACACACACACACACACACACACAATATGCGTTTTATAATAAGAAAGATTTTGGTCAGTCCTTGTGTTGGTCAAACAGCCTCTTTCAAGTTGTTTTTAAGATAGTGGACGGGGGATTCCTGACGTAAAGAATTCCCTCCTTGGTTATTTTGGCAGTTTTATTGTCTGCTGTGAATGGGATGAGTGCGCTAAGTGTATGTTATCTTTTAGTTCTTTGGGAGTGTATAGGCCTGTGTGATGTGTGTATGTGTATACATTGTTCTTTTAGGAGGAACGGTGGAGTAATGGATAGCGGCTTGGATTGAGGAATCGCAGAGCCGAGTTCGAATTACATTCACTTACGCGCTAATACCCTTGGGAAAGGTATAAATCCTCTTCCTCTCCCTCCAGCTATGGGTAAAATAGCAGGACAGACAGGGTTCTATAGCCTTGGATGGCAACTGGTCTATGAGAAGGACAACTCTGAATTCAAAACCTGCGGAGGGTCGTTTGAGAACCTTGTGGCATTCGGTGCACCAGGTCTCTGTATTCGGCCCTTCAAAAAGTGTGGATGGTCCTGCATGAGGCCTTCACCACTATAATCATATCTCATGTGCCGGTGTCGGACTGTCGGTTTCTTGGAAACTGATCTGCTTGACCCTCAGAGTCGATTATATATATATATATATATATATATATATATATATGTGTATATATTTCAGGTTTTCCAATAAACACGTTTATCCATATTGATAGCATATATATATATATATATATATATATATATATTCGAACTCGGCTCTGCGATTCCTCAATCCAAGCCGCTATCCATTACTCCACCGTGCCTCCTATACCAGTCGAATCCATTACATTCACTTACGTGCTAATACCCTTTGGAAAGGTATGAATCCTCTTACTCTCCCTCCAGCTATGGGTAAAATAGCAGGACAGACTGGGTTCTATAGCCTTGGATGGCAACTGGTCTAGGAGAAGGACAAATCTGAATTCAAAACCTGTGGAGGGTCGTTTGGGAACCTTG